GGGATGTAGCTCAGATGGTAGAGCATTCGCTTAGCATGCGAGGGGCACGGGGATCGATACCCCCGCATCTCCATTTTTATATCCTTTCTATACTTATTCCCTCTTTATGTACTATTATACTTTTCACTTCTAACTTATATGTTATATCCTTATATCTATATATCTATATATCTATATATCTATATATGTACCATTTTTATATTACTTATATATATTATATATCTATATATCTATATATGTACCATTTCTATGTGCTTTTCTATATTTACTCTTTTATATTAAGTAATGTCTATATATATTCCACTTTCCTATATATACCTTTATATATATTAGTATTTATATTAGTATTTATATTAGTATTTATATTAGTATTTATATTAGTATTTATATGTGTATTTATATGTGTATTTATATTAGTATTTATATTAGTATTTATATGTGTATTTATATTAGTATTTATATGTGTATTTATATGTGTATTTATATGTGTATTTGTCTATATATTACTATATGAGTATATAATATTCTACCACTTTATAACTTATGCATATATTAACTTTTATACTCTCCCCACTATACTATATTAGTCTACCACTTTATAACTTATGCATATATTAACTTTTATACTCTCCCCACTATACTATATACTACCTATATTAACTTTTATACTCTCCCCCCTATACTATATACTACCTATATTAACTTTTATACTCTCCCCCCTATACTATATATTACCGTGTTGGGGATGTAGCTCAGATGGTAGAGCATTCGCTTAGCATGCGAGGGGCACGGGGATCGATACCCCGCATCTCCATTTTTATATCCTTTCTATACTTATTCCCTCTTTATGTACTATTATACTTTTCACTTCTAACTTATATGTTATATCCTTATATCTATATATCTATATATCTATATATCTATATATGTACCATTTTTATATTACTTATATATATTATATATCTATATATCTATATATGTACCATTTCTATGTGCTTTTCTATATTTACTCTTTTATATTAAGTAATGTCTATATATATTCCACTTTCCTATATATACCTTTATATATATTAGTAT